GATTGAAGCCTCGAGAATGCTCTACCATTTGGTAGTCATAAATGTTACCTATGAATTTTTCAGAAAAAAAGAAAATTTTAGAAAGAGTGTTGCAGAACTTTCTTTCCAACCTAATAGTTCATGACATCACGTTGGCCGAAGGACAGTTCCTTAGTATTCACGAATTTTCTCTGCCAGGAGAGGTGGAACTGTTTCAGAAAAAGTTGGCTTGGCCTTGTTCTCCTTTCATCTTGAAACCACATTTCATTTCATTTATATCACCAAGCACTATGAGCCTACCAGATAAATCTCGAGTGCAATATCCGACGCTCTTTCTTTCTGCCGACTTTTACGATTGATAAGATTTCCCGCGTAGTGTGAAATCAAGAGGTCAGCGGCCCTCGCCTAGTTAGCTGCCCATCCATACGATTAGCAGTCCACCTCTTTCCGCTCGCTGATCTCATTCCTCTTTCTGACAGCTTTTAGAACGTCGTGGAACAGAATTGTGGTTTCACGTGGTGAATACCAGCCATTTGGGAGCACGTTCGTCCCAGGGATATTCAGGGCCTCTCATTTGACTGAGAGGTGTCCAGCCTTATATTGCTTTTGCTTATCCACTCTATTTTAATTCTAGCGTTTACAGTGGGGAGTCTTCCAAGCTCTAGAAGCTCGAAAATATGAAATTCTCATTGAACTCTCATGTATGATATTCAGAGTTCTGTTCACAATCGTCTTTTGCTCTCTCGGCTGGCGCAACTTCGAGAGAACTCTAGCCTGTGTGACGTGACGCTGGTCGCCGAGGTAGTCCACTTAACGCAATGGATCGTTCAGTAGACATGAAAGAGCTCTTTCAGGGAGAACGGATAAGCGCCCATCGAGTCGTACTCGCTGCAAGTACAAGTTATTTCGAAGCTATGTTCACAAACGACATGGCTGAAAGCCGCTTGAGTATGACTCTTTGAGTTCACATATTCGATGAATTCTCTCCCCCTGTGCGATTCTTGTTAAAGCTGTTTGCAGTATTTTTACAAGCTCATTTTGCAGAAGAAATAGAGTTGAAGGATGTGAAGGTCTCCGCGCTTGAAGCTCTTGTCAATTTTTGCTACCTCGGAAGGATAAGGATCACTAGCACAATGTATGGAGCCTTCTGCCCACCGCTTCCTTGCTTCAGCTGAATGAAATTCAGGTTAGGATAGCGAATGCTGGGAAGTTTTAGCCTCGTTCAAATATGTAGTTTACAATGCGGAATGTAAAAAAGTACGAGTTTAAATATTTTTGTAGGACCAGTGCAGCAAATTTTTGAAGGCAGAAATGAACACTTCAAATTGCTTGGGAATTCGAGCTTTTGCCGACACTTATGCATGTGGAGAGCTCTTACGCTGTGCTAACAAGTATATCCTGCACAACTTCAAGGTCCCTTTGTTGATCTTTTCTCAGATTCGAAGAAACATACTGGCCTTCCTCCTTTAGGACGTTATTGGCACTGATGAGTTTTATAATCTTCCTGGTAAGCAATTAGTTAAGCTGATTTCAAGTGAAGAACTTCAGGTGCCTTCAGAAGACCAGGTACATCATGCATGTTTAAAAGCAGGTTCCTGCTTCCATCCCTGATGGGCTCTTTTCTTGCATTACACATCTATTATATAATCAACTTCTTTCAGGTTTTCAAAGCGGTTGTTGAGTGGGTCAGGTTCGATTTACCGGCTCGACAACAATTATTCCCACAGGTGATGGCTGTATTCCTTGCCAGTGGCCGGTGTTGTATGACAATCGGGTTTTGCAGTTGTTCGAGCATGTGCGGCTTCCTCTTTGTCATAGTGGATTTCTGGTCAATACGGTCAGTAAGGAAGCCTTGGTGAAGGCGAACGCTGCATGCCGAAATCTTGTCGATGAAGCGAAGGTTGGTGGTTGATGCTGCGTTGCAGAGTGCTGGACCTTTTTCCCTGCTTTCACCGCTGATTTTTCAGGACTACCAACTTCTACAATTTTCTACACACGAACGACCAAGCATACAAGAATCGCGTACTCGGCCACGAAAAGTACTCACCGGTGAAATATTGTACGTAGGTAGGTTGAAGTGCTGCTGCCCTCAATTTCACTCAGTTTCTTTTCTTGTTCAAAACATGGCTCGCAACGTACGCTGATGATTAAGAAAAGTATGTGTCGGGAGCAGACAATCGTGTCGAGGACGTGGTCGCAGAAGTGCGACCCCCCCCCCCTGAAATCGAGGTCTTGGCACGACCCCCTAAAACAGAGCATACGCAAAATCACAACAGCCGAGTGTATCGATCAACGGCCGATTCACAAGCAAAATCTACACCCTCGATGGAAGGCTCC